CCTGCCGAGCAGGGAGCCCGATGCGGGACTCGATCCTGGGACTCCAGGATCACGACCTGAGCCGAAGGCAGTCGCTTAACCAACTGAGCCACCCAGGCGCCCCTGATTGCTTTCTTAAAAGGCATTTCTGGAAGTAAAATTACGAAGTCAGTGGACATTTTTAAGTCTTTTTGATACCAGTTACCACATTGCCTTTAACTGCACTGATTTGTGGTTTCTTCAGAGTATGAGAATGGTAATTTCCTTATAGTTTTACCTTTCCTGTGGATTATTTATGTTTACTCTTTACCAATTTGATGAGTAGAATTTTTGATTCATAATTGAACCTGCTTTTGTTACTTTTTTTACTACCCTATTAGCATTTTTATTTATTTTTTAAAGATTTTATTTATTTAATTGACAGAGAGAGAAACAGTGCGAGAGGGAACACAAGCAGTAGGAGTGGGAGAGGGAGAAGCAGGCTTCCCGCGGAGCAGGGAACCTAATGTGGGGCTCGATCCCAGGACCCTGGGATCATGACCTGAGCCGAAGGCAGACGCTTAACAACTGAGCCACCCAGGTGCCCCCCTATTAGCATTTTTAAAAATAAGGTATAGGGGCACCTGGGTGGCTCTGTTGGTTAAGTGTCTGGCCCTTGATCTCAGCTCAGGTCTTGATCTGAGGGTTGTGAGTTCAGGCCTTGCGTTGGGCTCCACGCTGGGTGTGGAGCCTACTTTAAAAAATAAGAAAATTATGTATATTTTGAGTAAAGATATTCCTGAATATAGTTGATTTTTCCGGTGTAATTGTCTTTCAATTAAACTTTGCAGGCTATGGATCATCTTCAGTCATTCATTGCAGATTGTGATCGAAGAACAGAAGTGGCTAAGAAAAGATTAGCAGAAACTCAAGAAGAGATTAGTGCTGAAGTGGCAGCAAAGGTAAGAATTTCAATTATTTCATTAGTACTACAAAATACCATTTCAGTTCACTAATTTTAACTTTTTATTTTGAAATAATTACATCCACAGGGGCGCCTGGGTGGCTCAGATGGTTAAGTGTCTGCCTTCGGCTCAGGTCGTGATCCCAGGGTCCTGGGATCGAGCCCTGCATCAGGTTCCCTGCTCAGTGGGAAGCCTGCTTCTCCCTCTCCCACTCTCCCTGCTTGTGTTCCCTCTCTTGCTGTGTCTCTCTCTGTCAAATAAATAAAATCTTTAAAAAAAAAAAAATTACATCCACAGATTGCAAAGACATAAATAGGGAATTCTCTGAACTCCCTTTAGCCTCCCCTATTGTTCACATTTTATACAACTGTAGTACACTGTCAAAGCCAAGAAATTGATACTGGTCCAATCTTGAAATTTTACTCAGATTTTACCAGTTGTGTGTGCACTTTGTGTGTGTGTGTGTGTGTGTATGTATGTAGTTTTGTGCAGTTTTATTACATGTGTAAGTAACTTGGGTAACTACCACCATAATTAAATTACTTCACTGTAGCATCACCATGAGACTCCCTCATCTTACCTCTCTATAGCCACATCTATTCCCCCTTTCCGCTATCTTCTGGCAACTACTGTATTTTCCAGCTCGATAATTATGTTACTTTATTGAATATGACATAAACGGAATCATGTAACCTTTTGAGACTGGTTCTTTTCACTCAGCACAGGTTCCTTGATTCATACAAGTTGCTGCGTATATCAGTAGTTCATTTCTTTTTGAGCAGTATTCCATGGTACGGATATACCACAATTTAACCACACATTGAAAGATGTTTGGATTGTTTGCAGTTACTGGTTAACACCAGTAAAACTGCAATAAACATTTCATTTCTCTGGGATAAATGCCCAAGAATGCAATTTCTGGGTCATGTGGTCATATGGTAAGTCCATTTTTAGTTTTGAAAGCAGGTGTCAAAACTTTTTTCTACAGCAGCTGTACCAGTTTGCACTCTACCAGCAATGTGTTAGTGATTTGGTTTCTTCACATCTGTGCCAAGATTTGGTGGTGTCACTAATTTTCATTTTAGCCATTCTTAGACGTGCGTAGTGATATTTCTTGGTTTCAGTTTGCATTTCCCTAATGCCTAATGATGCTGAACATTTTTTTCATGTGTTTGCCATTTATGTACCTCTTTAGTGAATTGTCTGTAAACCCATTTTCCAAATGGACTGCTCATTTTTTTTAATGTTGAGTTTTGAGTGTTCTTTAGATGTTCTGTTTTACCCCCCACTTTTAAAAAATACTTTGTTGTAGGAGCACCTGGGTGGCCCAGGTCAGTTAAGCATCCAACTCTTGATCTCTCAGGGTCCTGAGTTCAAGCCCCGCGTTGGGCTCCATGCTGGGTGTGGAGCCTACATAAAAAAATTTTTTATGTGAATTTACATGCAAAGGATGGAAAAAGGGGTGCCTAGCTGGCCAAGTCAGTAGAGCATGCAACTCTTGATCTCTGGGTTGTGAGTTCGAGCCCCACATTGGGTATAGAGATTACTTATTAAATAAATAAATAAACTTTAAAAATACAAATAAAAACTAGAAAGAAAAGTACAATAAATCCCAATGGATTCATAGTCAGTTTTTTGCTCTTGTTTCATTGTTTTATTTATTTAAAGATTTCATTTATTAGAGAGAGAAATGGAGCAGGGGATGGGGCAGAGGGAGAGGGAGAAGCAGACTCCCCACTGAGCAAGGAGCCCAATATGGGGCTGGATCCCAGGACCCTGAGATCATGACCTGAGCTGAAGGCAGACGCTTAACCAGCTGAGCCACCCAGGCACCCCTGTTTTATTATTTTAAAAGCAAATTCCAGATGTCACATCATTTCACCTTTAAAATATAACCATAAAAATCACATCCATAAAGTTAACAATTTTTTAATATTATCTAATATCCTGAATGTGTTCATTTTTCCTATATAGAGTTGGTTTGTTCTAATCAGAATCTTTTTTTTTTTTTAAAGATTTTATTTATTTATTTGACAGAGACACAGCGAGAGAGGGAAC